TAAGAAGGTCGTGGTCACAGTTGGGTGGTCTGCTGCTAGTCTGATCCACTACCAACTGAATTCTGGTCAAACCACTACATCTGAGAAGCATGCTCAGCAATCCATGACATGTGCACCAGAAGCTGTAGCACCCATAGTTGGCATTGGTCAGTGTTCAGAAAAGGCCTTCTCCAGGACAAACCTAGACTGCAAGCTGCACGATGGATGCATGCTTCAGTCGTTGACTTTTGCCTCATCCACTATGTTTACTTGACCTCTTGCCAACTGACTACCACTTCAAGTACCTTGACAGTGTTTTACAATGAAAAATCACTTTTTAACCCGTAGGATGAGGAAATTGCTTTCTAAGAATTTGTCTTAATTTCAAAGCATGGGTCTAAAGGAGTAAATAAAATTATTTCTTATTGGCAAAAATATATTAGTTTGTAATGGTTCATATTTTGATTAATAATGTTGTTTTAAACCTAGTTATAATTATTTGAAATTCACAGTCCAAACCTGCAATTCCTTTTGCACCAATGTAATATCCAGTTCATTGTTGAAGGAAGAGTTAGTTCCAAGAGGCCCAGGAATAATCCTTCAGGGATGCTCAACTAACAGAAGAAGAACAGTATGTAGGAGACAAGTAACCTCAAACTGAAGGCAGTGTATATGAGTGGCAGTCAACGAAGCTTGATTCCAGAAGGCAGGAAAGATACAGGGAAGTAATTGAAAAGAACTTTAGAGTCTATTGTAGTGGGATATTTGAGGTTTATGTTTTTATTTTTTTATTTTATTTTATTTTATTATTTTTTTTTTTTTTGGTTTTTCGAGACAGGGTTTCTCTGTGTAGCTTTGCGCCTTTCCTGGAACTCACTTGGTAGCCCAGGCTGGCCTCGAACTCACAGAGATCTGCCTGGCTCTGCCTCCCGAGTGCTGAGATTAAAGGCATGCACCACCACTGCCTGGCGAGGTTTATGTTTTTAAAGATTATTAGCAATTTTTGTTGTGTTTTCTGGAACAGAAGCTTTTTTATTGAAATATAATGGTACATAATAAAATACACATGTTTAAACTGCAATAGCATGAGTTTTGGCATATGTGTACATCTATGAAATTGTCACTAAAATATGAAAATAGCCATTGCTCACATATGTTTCCCTGTGCTCTTAGACTTCTTTGCTGCCCTCCTGACTGCCTTCTCCTCCCCTCCTCCCTCCCTTCTTTGCTGTCCTCCTGACTGCCTTCTCCTCCCGTCCTCCCTCCCTTCTTTGCTGTCCTCCTGACTGCCTTCTCCTCCCTCCCCTCCTCCCTTCTTTGCTGTCCTCCTGACTGCCTTCTCCTCCCTCCCCTCCTCCCTTCTTTGCTGCCTCCTGACTGCCTTCTCCTCCCTCCCCTCCTCCCTTCTTTGCTGTCCTCCTGACTGCCTTCTCCTCCCTTCCTCCCTTCTTTGCTGTCCCTTCCACCTAGTCAAGGAGCCAGTAACCTGCTTCCTAGTAACAAAGCACCATGTGAGCATATTTTTGTTGCATGGTTTTGCCTTAGTATTCATCTGTTGATGGAGATTAATGCAAGACTTTTTGTATAGAAAGAAATCATATTTGGGGGCCAATAATTGTATGTCAGATATAAAGAAATACATCCATAAAATTGGGAAGATCTTGGGTTTTTTCTTTGCGTTTGGCTTTTTTTGAGACAAGGCCTCACTGTTTAGCCCTGTCTGACCTGGAATTCACGGTGTAGACCAGTAGGCTTCAAGTTCAGTGCCTTTTGAGTGCTGGGATTAAAGAATGGTGCCACCATGCCTGGCTAAGAAGATCTGTATTTAATCTGAAGGCAAGATCGTATCATTGTCTACTAGGGTATTACAGTGGGTGCTTTCTGTTCATATTTGATAGTTACTCTTGGAGGTTTTCCAGGGCCAGTTCTTCTCATTGTACTTATCATTTATGTATGCTTCTAATGTTGGCACTAGACCCGAATGTTGATACCGTATAGCGGTTTTAACAATCCAGACATGTCAGCAGATTGGGCAGGATGCATTTCTGAGACATTCTCACCATATTCTCAGACATCGGCTTATAAAACTAAGTTGAAAAATTACCAGTCTACCGAGAAAGATAAAATGACTATCGATAGGTTCTCTGGAAAAACCAAGTGCTAATCAGAAGATTGCTTGGTTAGCAATGTCTGGATAATACTTTTCTACAAGGGCAAGAATCTATCTGTTTGGAAAGGTTTAACGTTTAACATACCAGATTTTTTTTTTTTTAAACCATTACAAAACTTGGTGCCCCTTCAAATCTTTTATAAAAGTTTGAACTTTCCCCTTTCAATTTTGTACCACTTTGCATTTGTTAATTTTAGATATTGGGCCTGAAGAGATAACTCAGTGGTTAAGAACACTGGATGCTCTTCCAGAGGATCTGGGCTTGATTCCCAGCACCCAGAATATGGCTAACAGTTCCAGGGGATCCAAAGCCCCCTTCTGAAGGCAGTACATGCATGTAGTGCACAGACGTACATGCAAATAAAACACCCATATACATACAAATAAATGCTAAAACACTCATATATATGCACACACACACACACACACAAAACAAAACAATTTTAAAGTAATTTGAAACATCTTTGGAGAAAAAGGGTGATTGGTAATGTCGACTGAACACTAACTATATACCTGTCTTTCTGTCTTAAAGTTTATTAAATCAATATAGCAAAGCAAATAACATCCAGACCTTTCCACAGTATTTCTTAATAGGATTACATAGGTAATTAGATATCATTGACTTGATTAATATTAACATTTATATATTTTTAAATGCTAGTTTCCTAGGTCTTTTGTAACAAATGCTACAAATGGGGTGACTTACAACTCAACTTTATTCTCAGTTCTGAACACCAGAGGACTGACAAAGGGCAAATGGGGTTGGTTTCTTCTGGAGGCTTCTGCCCTAGTGTCTCACCGCTTTGGCAGCTTTGGTGCTTCTTGGTTTTACATGTGACTCTCCAGTCTCTGCCTGTCTTGCTGTGGCCTTTTCCTCTATATCTCTGCATCTGAAATGTCTCCCTTCCTCTCCTTTCCTCTCTCCAGAAAATGACTCTCTCTCTTTTTTTTTTTTTCAGAGAGAGTGGTGATAATGACCATTAAAAGTATGACCAACTTCCATGTTCATGAAAGTTACCTTTGCAAGGAGTTTTATGAGGGTGCAAATGATACTTTAGGGAAGTGAACATTAGGAAGTGAACTTTAGGAAGTACCTACAAGAACATTCTGTGTTTGGGGCTCTGTGTCTCACTGTCAAATTTCATAATGCTTTAAGAGTCCCAGCCAGGCACTCACATGTCCCAGCTGTATTGGTGCACTGAGAGAAGGCATGTCCCAGCTTTCTGATCAGTCTTTGTCATATTTGCATCCAGTTCTGGGGAAAGTTCCACTGGACAGGGAAGGGAGCCAGTGCCTACTTCCCCCTTCAGAAAAGACTTCTTTACTTTGTTTAGAAATTTCCTATGAAGCCCAGGATAGCCTTGAATTCTCAGTCTTCTTGACTCAGCCTCCTGAATGCTGGGATTATAGAAATATGCAATGATGCCCTTCCTTATAAGGATGCCAGTAATTGGGTTTAGAGTTAGATTTAGTGCCCACTGCAGATCTAGGATGATTTCTTCTAAATTCCTTAACTAAGGGTTTATAAAGACCCAATTTCTAATGAAGATTTTATTCATAGACTCTGAGGGTTAGGAATTAGACCTGTCTTTTAGGGGTATAGTTCTTTACAGTATTATAAAATATGCTCTGTGCATACCACTCAGCCTCACTAACTCTTAGTGAATTGATGAACATAGGACAGTACTCCTGCATCTTCGCAGATGGTGGGGTTACAGGTATGTGCCACTATGCCTGGTGAGATCCTTTAATGAATCAATTTGAAACTGTAGTTTTGGACTCTTATCTGAAAATGGTCTAGTCTTCACTACTGGGTTGTGTCACAGATAGGGAAGTGGGAAATGTGAAGGAGATAAAAAGAGAGAAGTGGAAACAAGGATGGGAGTCATGGTGTCTCCTGTTTTAATGGTTGCTTGGGTATCTGAGGGGTGTGAAGCCTACTGCAGCTATAAGCTGTGCCTAAAAATTCAGGCCAGAACGGAACAAAATTGGCATTTCTTTTGCAATAACCCATTATGTTCATTTGGCTACCTGTTTTTAAAATCTCTGCCAAGTAAAATAATTTGTTTCAGTGAATGGCTTTAACAAGATTCTTTTAAGCTGATCTCACTTGGTAGTTCATTGTTTCCATGTATTCTATATCATCAGATGGCATTGTATGTGTAGACAGAATGAGTTAGTCTTTGTGCTTATAAAAAGTTGTGCAATAATTAGTTAGAATGTTGTTAGAAATATTGCAGGATCAAAAATCATTACCTGAAGCACTCTGAGTTCAGAAGACCCAGATCAGTGTACATATAATTATCATTAGTTCTTTTGTTACGGGTGCTAGGATTGGAAACAACAGAAGAGTATAAGCTGAGCTATTGACAGCTTGTTTGTGGTCATTCTCCCTACCCCACTCTAGCTTTGTTGGGCATCTCCTGGCTGTGTACTGGCCAATGTTTAATGCCTTGAAATGAATACACTGGTTTTATTTCAAGCCCTTGTAAATGCTATTCCTTTGCCTACACTACCCTCTAGTCTTTTCTTCATCTGGTTTACCCCTAGGTTTGAGGTACTCTTGGCTTTGAACATTTTAGCATATATGTCAATTTTTTTTCAGGCATAACTTTGCTAATTCCTTAAGGAGAGAGTCGTCCCCGTTTAATTAAGTTACATTGCATAAGTCAGATAAGTAATTGGGGAACTAGGAGATGTTCTTGTTTTGTTACTGTAGCTAAGTGAGTCATTGCTGCTTAATAACTATGTATTGAATGAATGTATAAGCATCCTTTCTGCATCTCGTTTTCTGTGTTTAATATATTTATTTCTTCATTTAAGTCAAATGTCTTTTTTTCTCCCTCTGAAGAGTTTGGCTGAATTGGAAACATTGTGCACTCATCTTTACGTAGGGACTGATCTCACAGAAAGAATAGAGGCTGAGAAAGCACTCTTGGAACTGATTGACAGCCCAGAATGTCTCAGCAAGTGTCAACTTTTATTAGAACAAGGAACAGTAAGTATGTGATGAATACCATGAAAGGCCAGTGTTAATGATGATAGCAGTGGTTAGCAGTGATACTTATAGCTTTTGCCATGTCTATTTATTATAATTTCCTGTCAAGGGGGTTAAGTGGGAAAGAACTAGAAAGCCAAGGAAACAAACATAGCAAACAGCCACACAGTAGAAATAGGAATGTGTTGAATAGTTTCTTGGTTCTTCTTGGCCTACTTTTATGTCACATTTTATATGTTTATTTTAGCAGTGCTAGGGAATGAACCAGTGCCTTGCTAGGCAAGCTTTCTATTGCCAAGTTACATCCCCAGCCCTAACAATTATATTTCAGAAATAACTTAAAAAAAAAAATCCAAATGTTGTAGGTAGGTAATGATTAACTCTAGAAAATCAAAAGATTGTTCAGAAGAGTGCTCACTGCCTCTTCATACCTCCATTCTAGACATTCATAGCTATATCTGTATGTATGTATGTATGTATGTATGGAGAGAGAGAGAGAGAGAGAGAAAATAGAGTGCTGACTCAGCAGTCAGCACATATTAAAACATAACCAAATACTGTACTGCTTATTTGGCCTATGTACATGAATTAAAGTAGTTCACTGTGTAGTTAGACACAGATGTATAAATAAAAAGGTGTGAAATGATATGGAGAATACTACAGAAAGAGACATGTTTTACAGAAAAGTGACAAGCTTTCCATAAAGGGCCAAGTATTTTATTTAGGCTTTGTGAGCCAAAATTGATATTTCATAAGTATACATATAATATTAGAGAAAACAAATACTGAAAGTTTTGTTGGTAAAATTCAAATTTTAATTATTGAATGTAGTTTTTTAAGTCATACAGGTTGGCTGATAAAAAGTTAGGGATTAATTGGAGTTTAAAGTTGGTGTTTCCTGTTATTAAACTTGATTGCAGATGTTCATAGTTCATATATTCATGCAGTTTTGTAATGAAATGATACATTTTTTTTTCTTTCATGAGACGAGATCTCACTATGTGAGAACCTTGGCTGACCTGTGACTCCCTGTGTAGACCAGGCCGGCCTTGAATTTACAGTAGTCTACCTGCCTTTGCCTTTAAAGTGCTGGTATTCAAGGTATACACTGTCATCCTGGCTAAAATTTTATATCTTTGAAAATATCTTCACAAACCTAGATGCTGCCAAACATTATACCAGTGGCGTCTGCTCTGCATTGTGCATGCTTTCACTTAGAAGGCATTTCTGTGCTTTTTAAAAATCCTCTTGATAGTTGCCATTTTGCCTGTCATTGTGTTGCAAATTAATAATTTTCAATTAAGAATTAGGTAGAAGGGCCTCAGTTGCACAGCAAAATGGATTTTCAAATATGGAAATTTCATGGCTCTTGTATCAGTATCTACACATGCTGCCGGGACTGTAGCTGGAGCCCAGCAAACGTGTTTGGGGCGGAGCTTTACTACTTGTTTTAGCTTTTCTCAGTGCAGGAACGTGTGGAATGGCCTGCAGTCCTGTGACGCAGCCAGTGTGACCCGAGTGACTGGGCTGTCACTCACCCTGCCCTCCCCTGTTTAGGTGTTCCCTGTACAAGTGCTATCCCTTCACATGAGGCACTAGGCTGGACTTGTTGAGAGAACAAGTTTGTTGTAGAAAGTAATTTCTAAACCCATTTAATAGTGAAAAATAGTGACTTTGTTTTGTCTATGAAATTTTACTCTCAGACCTGAGCTTAAAAAAAAAAAAGAGCCGGGCGGTGGTGGCGCACGCCTTTAATCCCAGCACTAGGGAGGCAGAGCCAGGCGGATCTCTGTGAGTTCGAGGCCAGCCTGGGCTACCAAGTGAGTTCCAGGAAAGGCGCAAAGCTATACAGAGAAACCCTGTCTCGAAAAACCAAAAAAAAAAAAAAAGAAATCCAATTTGTCTCTGACAAGCTATTAGTTTACTTCGTTAGGGGCAAGTCAGTGGAAGATGAGCTCACAAAAGTAAAGGAACACTCCTGGTTCATTCAGTTAGGAGAGATTCAGATACAACTCCAGAATAAATGCTAATATAAAGTGAATAGTACAGGCTTCAAAAATTACTATTATTATTATTACTTACAAGCTTTGTGGATTTGACCAGCTAAGCCCTTTTCTGTTCATATACTGTTGTCACAGGTGTGTAGCAGAGTCTACCTAAGGTTTATATTTAATTAATGCTTCCTCAGCTCCTTTGAGAATATTCTGGCCTGTAGTTCCACAGATGCTTCATGAAAGATAGCTGCTCTTTACTTGCTTCCCATTCTTCCTTGACTTCTGGAGTAAGTAGATGCAAGTGTCAGGAGCATTAATAGCATGAACAGTTAGTAGTAACCTCAACCCATTCATTGAAAGCCAATGATAACCTTTGCAGTTCGCTTGCCTTGCCTTTAAGTTATTCTCATGTTGCTGTAGTGCCTTCTCACTGAAAGGTAGTGAAGTCTATTTTCTCTACACCTAACTTCTCTATTTTCTCTACACCTAGCTGCTGCAGTAAAACATGGTGATTTAAGTCATCATTAGTAAGTTGCTTCCTTTACTTGACTGAAGCAATAGCCCCTTGTAAACCTTTTTTTTTGAGAAACTGCTGTTCTGACATAGTCTGTTTTAAATTTCAGAAAGACTATTGACTTTAATTTGGAAATATCGTAATGACTGCTTAATTTGAAAAGGTCAATGTATATTCTTTTAGGACAAGGTAACTGTAGCACCATTGGAGAAAAGCTCACTGATCTACCACTAATTTATTACTGTGCTATGAAATTTAGACATTTAAAGTCCACTTTTCCTTCTTTGACATGGTGGATATACATTGATATAATGAAAGGTATGTCTCATGTTGGCTCAGTTCCTGTGACACTCTAGAAACTGGAGTTGTATCACTGCTGTTTGTGGCACATGAGCAGCAGCTGGATTTGAGCATACACAGGGTCAGTTTTAGCTGCTAAGGTCTGCCATTACACATGCAGGCAGCCATGGACAACAGGTAAACACTGGGCAAAGCTTTGTGTGTCATAAATTTCATCACACTAAAGTTGAGATTGTACCTACTTTTTATATGTTACAAAATACTATTTTTAAATTGTTTTCATTGGTTTAAAACTGAAAACCATTTTTAGCTCACAGGCTATGCAAAAATAGAATCTGGTTTGTGGATTTTTTTTCCAACTTGAAGTCTAGAGAAAAAATACAATTTTGGTAAGAAATTTGTGGGAGGAGAATGAGTTTATGAAGTGAATTTTGAAGGATGAACATGAATTTATTAGAGTTTGAACACACTGTGGAGTATTTAAAAATTGGTGGTGAGGCTAGAAAGATGATCAGAGGTTACAAGCACTTGCTTTTCTTTGTGAGACCCAGGGTCAGTTCACAGCACTCACATCAGGTGCTTCACAACTGCCTGTAACTCCATTCCAGGAATTTGACAACCTCTGACCTCTGAGAACACCTGCACACATGTGGTGCACATAAACTCATGTGAGCACACATACATAAACACAAATTAAAAATACAAATCTTTAAACAAAAATGAAAAATGATGGCCAGACATAAATCTGAAGGAACACAGAAATCATGGTGGGGGAGGCACTGGAAAGCTGTTGTGGCCACAGCCTTCTGAAGTGTGGCTCCAGGGGCATTTGGTGGTAGCATGAGCGCAGAGTGTGCAGAACTACAGGCCATATTAAGAGTGTTTTATTTGAACTTACTTAGACATTGATTTTTCCCATTTACCTGGTGCTGTTGAGATGGCTCTGTACACTTCATTCAGCTGATGGTCTTTTATGAGAGATCGTGCATGTTCATAGGTCTACAGAGTGTATTTCAAGTACATGTATTTTATTCATTATAAATCTGTTACTTTAAAGAACTCAAAAAAATTATTCTTTTTGCTTAGAAAAATTTCTTATATTTTGACTATTCTATTTTTGTGATAACAAAAATTACTGTTTTTTACAGACATCCTATGCTCAGCTCCTTGCAGCAACATGTCTTTCAAAACTTGTTACCCGAATGAATCCTTTACCTGTAGAACAGAGGATAGACATCAGTAAGTGATTCATTAATTTTTTAACAAATTATATTTTAAAAATAAAAATTTTCTTTTAAATTTGCTGAGTTTTTATTAGGCTTGTAATTTAGTTTTATTATTATTTTAAGATGGATAATTAAACCATCTTCATGCAGTGATGGTGACATGATAGATAAGGCAATATGTAATTATAAAATTTTGTTAATTTAATAATTGTATCTTGTGTATGTGGTATTTGTTAAGATTTTCACCATCATATTTTATCCTCTAAAAAAAAATTGATGCGTTATCCTCATTTTACAAATGGGTAAATTGGAGATGATGGGTTCTGACCAGCTCAGGATCACATAACTGGGAAGAGAGCTGTCATTCACATTCCTTAAATCTCCATAGAGTCCATGCTCTTCATTGATAGGCAACTGAATGCCCAGAAAGAAACCAGCTCTGCAATATTGCTCAGGTTGCTATACCAGCGCCAGTTTGGATACATTTAAAACCAATAGTTGATTCCTACCTATAGTCAGAACAGGATTGATACTATAGAGTAGCTCTTTATGTGTTTTGGGAGCAATACACTTCACATTTTTATATATGTGTAAGTTTGTATTTCATATGGACAAACCTAATAATTGGGGTACGAGATTACTTTTTCTTTGTAATAGAAACAAATTATTGTCTCATTTCTGTTCTTCAGACTCAGTTAATATTATTTATATTTCTATATTAGAAAAATGAAGATATCTGATGTGTTATGAATCTTTAAGATCAAAATTCACTAGTCAGAACCATGCAGTGATATAGTTTGTCTCGTTTCCTAACAGTCTTCAGAAAGTTCTTCAGTCTGCAGAAAGTGCTACACTTAAGAGAGCAAGAGATACATTTGCATCTAAAAAAACAGTGGTTCAAACAATGTCAGCCTGAGTCATGAAACTTAGGACATATTTTAATTAGACTGATTTTTTTTGTTTTTGTTTTTCGAGACAGGGTTTCTCTGTGTAGCTTTGCACCTTTCCTGGAACTCACTTGGTAGCCCAGGCTGGCCTAGAACTCACTGAGATCTGCTTGGCTCTGCCTCCCGAGTGCTGGGATTAAAGGCGTGCGCCATCACCGCCCGGCTAGACTGAATTTTTTAGAGAACTTCTGGGTTCTTAGCAAAACTGAACAGAAACTAGAGTGCCCTTATACTCCCTGCTTCCCCTCGTGGGCAGCCTCCCCTGTTACCAACATCAGTGTAGTGTGTTCATACAGTGGCATGTGTCTGCTGTTGGAATAGTGTACAGCAGCTGTGCCACCCTAAATCCTGTGCTCTGCCAGATCTTCCCTCCTGACCTCAACCCCCAGGTCTGACTAGCCTCCACTGACTCCCTTTTCCAGATTAGCATGTTGTGAGAAGCATGTAGTATGTAGTTTTCTCAGATTTCCTTCTTTCATTTATGATAGTAATGTGTGCTTAAGGTTCTTCATGTCTTCTCATGACAACTCAATGATCTCATTTCTTTTTAGTTATGAATAATAATTCCTCATTGTCTGAATATATCTAAGTAATGGTCATTTCTAAGTTTTGAGAAATTGTGAGTAAAGTTGCTCTAGACACCCATAAGCAAGTATACATGGTGGCTTATAATCCTAAGACATGGGAGACTGAGGTAGGCGGTTCCCACATTTGAGGCCAGCCTTGGCTAAATTGTGAGTTTAAGGTTACCCTGTGCTACACAGCAAGGCCCTGTTTGGGGCTGGGGTGGGGTGGGAGAGGAGCACACAGAATAAATGAAACCTGGAGTGATGGAGAGGAGTTTTGTTTCTGATCTTGGTGGGAAGCTTTTTTAAATTTCTCATCAAACATGATGTCATTGTAGTTTTTATTTTCCAGGAATATTCTAGATCAAGTTGAGAAAGTTTCTCTTTATTCTTGGTTGAGGTTTTTTGTTTTTTTTTTTTCTTCTGAGAGAGGGTTTCTCTGTGTAGCATGGCCATCCATGAACTTGCTCTGTAGACCAGGCTGTCCTTGAACTCAGAGATCCTCCTGCTCTGCCTTGTGAGTGTTGGGATTAAAGCCGGGCAATGGTGGCGCACACCTTTAAACCCAGCACTCGGGAGGCAGAGGCAGATGGATCTCTGTGAGTTCAAGGTCAGCCTGGTCTACTAGTGAGTTCCAGGACAGGCTCAAAGCTACACAGAGAAACCCTGTCTCAAAAAAAAACAACAACAGAAAAAGAAGGGCAACACCACTGCCTGCCTCTTGGCTGAGTTTTGTTTTTGTTTTTTTTTTTTAATCATAAGTGGATATTATGTTTGTTAAATACTTTTCTTATATTTATTGATATTATCATATGTTTTTCATTCTGTAGGCTGTTGATGATTTTATATGTTGAGCCAGCCTTGCATACCTAAGATAAATCCTACTTTATCCTGCTTTTTAATTCTTTATACATTGTTGGATTCCATTTGCTGAAATGTTGAGAATTTTCACAACTTTTTCAAGAGAGTTAATTGATTTCTAGTTTTGTGTTCTTGTAATGTTTTCATTAAGATAATTTAGGGGGCAGGGGTTATAGTCAAAGGTGGAATGCTTGCCTAGCATGCATGAGGGCCTGGGATTCATTCCTGGATGTGCAATAAAGTAAAATAAAGAAAAGAAGATAACTTTGGATTAAAATAAGTTAGGTAGATTTCTCTCTATCTCCCCCCCCCCCCCC